TTTTTTGTTCATGTGATCCACTAGTGAGATCAGTGCCTGTCTCTTATACACATCTAGATGTGTATAAGAGACAGCATTTATATCAATGGCGAGACTTTTTTTATACCTTGTTTAGCGAACGCACCGCCCGCCAATAATGACGATTTCAAATAAAAAGAAAATTTTATTTTTGGCCAATTAGCGCACTCGCCGCAACAAAAAAAGGAAATTTCAGAAAAAAATAAAAGATTTTTATTATTTTTATTACGCCCGCCGCTGCATTAAAATCTCCTCAAAAAAATGAAATGTATATTCAATCCTAATTATATAAATTTAAAGCATTCAACCATCTCATTACTACACTGTTTACATTCACTAATTAAATTTTATTTTTATTTTTTACTCCGTATGGATATTTTTGGCAAAACTATTTGCTATAAAAGAAAACAACATTTTTTCCCCGCTTTCCTCTGACGATCTTTAAGAAAATAAGTTTGCGAAACAAGGTATAAACAATTCTCGCCATCTACTATGCGAATATATTGTAGAATTGCCATTTAATGCCAACATTATGTATAACCCTTAAATTTTTTAATTTGTGTTTCTTTTATATTGACCCATGTTAACATTTATCATACTATTTTTCCATTATCGTTCTATTCACTAAAAAAAACGCATACTATTTCATGCGTTTGCTACCATGTATGTAATCGTTAGCTATTCAAATTCAATTCTGTGGGATGAGTTGGTTAGAATCTGTCTCTTATACACATCTAGATGTGTATAAGAGACAGCATACGCCCTGGCCCTTCGAATGCATTCAATAAACAATTTTGGCCCCTACTGCGATGATACAGTTGAGAACCCCTGGCTTAAGTACTGGTAATCTGGTATTGATCACACGTGTTTTAATTTTGATGAAGGACTATGTAGTGTACATCTTAAATAATCTAAACTATATTCTTTAAATTGAAGCTCGAGGAGGTGGAATGTGCCTGAATTTCGACAGTACGTTTATATTGGTGTTGATGTTACGCAAGTGCCTGACATATTTACGTGGAACAAAGGCAAACAGAGTGTTGCCTCTAGATCAAAGCATATATTTCCACAAATTATTAGGAATCACCATTGTTTTCTTCTCATTCGTGCATACGGTATCGCATATTGGCAACGCAGGTATGTTTATAACATTGTTCTTTTATTGTATTTTTCCACACAAATCAGGTGAATAACTTAGGCTAGAATGGCATAAGACTCTAAATAAATTATCAACAACATAAGACAATATGAGTGATGGCGACTAACGTGAGTTCATCAACAAATGGCCACCATTAAAATTAATCTATTTTAACAAGGTATATACACGTATTCCTAATTGATAATAATTATTATATTATGCTTGACGATCGTCTTAAGCCTGGTTTTCCAAAGTCGTGTCCACTATACAGTCGGGGAGTCTCCCCGACTACGACCGACTAATCAGCATCGCTGAACGCTCTCCGCGATAGCGCATAGGGATCTTATGAAAACCATGCTTTAAAAAGTCAATCTCATGCCTGGTGGTTCCAAATGAGCCGTTGTATTGTTGAGAATATCTCTAACATTACATATTTTCAACTACACAACGGTTCTTCTCTTTAGAAGCATTTATATGGACCTATACGCGGACATTTATATCAATGGCGAGACTTTTTTTATACCTTGTTTAGCGAACGCACCGCCCGCCAATAATGACGATTTCAAATAAAAAGAAAATTTTATTTTTGGCCAATTAGCGCACTCGCCGCAACAAAAAAAGGAAATTTCAGAAAAAAATAAAAGATTTTTATTATTTTTATTACGCCCGCCGCTGCATTAAAATCTCCTCAAAAAAATGAAATGTATATTCAATCCTAATTATATAAATTTAAAGCATTCAACCATCTCATTACTACACTGTTTACATTCACTAATTAAATTTTATTTTTATTTTTTACTCCGTATGGATATTTTTGGCAAAACTATTTGCTATAAAAGAAAACAACATTTTTTCCCCGCTTTCCTCTGACGATCTTTAAGAAAATAAGTTTGCGAAACAAGGTATAAACAATTCTCGCCATCTACTATGCGAATATATTGTAGAATTGCCATTTAATGCCAACATTATGTATAACCCTTAAATTTTTTAATTTGTGTTTCTTTTATATTGACCCATGTTAACATTTATCATACTATTTTTCCATTATCGTTCTATTCACTAAAAAAAACGCATACTATTTCATGCGTTTGCTACCATGTATGTAATCGTTAGCTATTCAAATTCAATTCTGTGGGATGAGTTGGTTAGAATTAGTGAGTACTTGAAATTCAATTGATAACATTTTATATCTGCAATCAGATTACTGGCCGGTTGTATATTATACACACCGATTAACGATTACTCTCGTGTTTTAAAACGTACGCCGACGTTTATCCATTTGGATGGTCAATAGATTAATTTACACGCTGATTTACGTGGCATTACTTTATGAAATATCACCAGGGAATATGAAATAAAAATAATACGCAATATTATACATTGATGACAAGTTTATTCTGTATTTCAGTCACAATATCAAAAAATGACAATTTTACTGCGTTTGAGCTGCTGGTTACAAAGCCAGATCTTACAGACTATGGTATAGTCTCAGGATCCGCGTTCATTACTGGATGGATACTGGTTGCGATTTTGATCATCATGGTTATCTGTTCGATGCCGTTTGTTCGAAGAGGTGGCTACTTTCAGGTAAAGGGACATTACGTACCGTACCTATCTTAGTTTTATTTTCCTACAAATTTAATACATAAAATACTGTATCATTTTTATCTGTCTCTTATACACATCTAGATGTGTATAAGAGACAGTATATATAACTTGACAAGGTGAATGCTTTTACGATTTTTAATGTCACTTTAGGCTGTAAACGAACACAGACCCCAATAATTCTCTATCAAATCACAATATTTACCAACTGGAACAAAGCAGAGAGCAGTCATGACTGCTCCATGGACTAAGTTACCAAATTCATATGAGATACAAGTCAAAAAAATTATTGACGTGTTAATAAAGCTTAACAACTGACCAATCAGAAAAGACAACAGATTATGCGCTTGTCCCACAAACACACGTGCTTCAACGCTTGTGCTTTCGTACGTTTAAGCCGTAGTTTGTGTGTAACTTCAGATCCACCACAACAATAACGTGGTTTAACGTAGACCTATCATTTCATCCTCGGTTTAATATAACATAAATATAATCCCGCCTTCTGTTTTTCCAAGTAGGCCTACTGTTTACTCAGATTATCCATAAATTATTACCGGCCAATAAGGACCGATGTAACAAAAACAGGGTCTATCTATATTGTGCAGAGTTAGTTAATTGGTAGAGAAACACCTTTCTCCTTTAAATTTTTAATTAAATGCCAATAATATGTAAAGTAGGCATATAGGTCCCGATGTACCTATACATATTCTAAACTCTTTAGCTCTATAGTATACGCCTGCTGTAATCATTGTGAAATTTCAAAACTTTGATCAAAACAGAAAACTAATTATATCTTTCTGACCACCCTCTGTTCTCTTGCCTTCTTTTTAATTCATTTGAATTGGTTCTTTTTTATTTTAGTTAAGTTTCTGTATATTTTTTATGTTTGTTTTTTTCTACTTTTTTTGTTCTGTTGTTTGCACTGATCCACTAGTGAGATCAGTGCTGCGTCACTGAAAGTGTTATCACGTTAAAGGCAGAATAAATAAATAAATCTAAAAATTTAAGGATAGGCCGATACATTAATCTCAGTTCATCAGATGAATCCACACTTGCATCAACCGAAAAAAATCAACTAAAGCAGATCAAGCTAGAGTGCTTGTAGTTATCATTGTTTCCATTCTACAATCCCGGGTACTTTTTCTCAATATTTTACCCGCCTCCCACACACTTCTGTGGTTAGATGTAGTGGCAATTGGTGAGACTGATCACTCCTAGAAACTATCGATTAGTCATTATGATCTTAAAGATTGCTCTTTAACTAAACCTTTGGATAAATCCAGAAAACCATAAAAAAAAAATATTACTCTCTTAATGTGGAAGAGTGAATTTTCACTCGAAAAGAGTGCCTACAGGGACCACTCTAATTTCACTTTTTCAAGAGTGAAAATTCACTCTTAAGTGAGTGAATATTATTCCTACAAATACTGAAAAATTACTAAAATTCATTCTGAATAGAGTGAAATCTCACTCTTTTTATTTCACTCTATCAGGAGTGGTCCCTGTAGTCACTCTTTCACTCGTTTTTCACTCGTTTGCATTTAGAGAGTAAATTTCGTGTTTAAATCAATTGAAAAACATACTCTTAAGGATCCTCTGGTGGATAAGCATTGTCTTTATTTTAGTGTTATATGAATGAATTATTGAGGTGGGTATCCAATCCAAGTCAAGCTTACTGGGACTTCCAAATTTGCATATTTAGAAATGGTACAATGCCAATGACTATTTTGATGTATTGATGTAAACTGATTGACTAATTGATCAAAATGTTATGAGCTTTCAATGAGACAAATACCAAAGCAATTTTTTTTAATATTTCCAAATATCCTTCCCTCTTTGATATAAATTGTAAAACAGTAGAATGAAATAAAAACGGGAAGTAAATCCATTTGATAACGTTGCCTCACGTAGACACAAGCGATTCGTCAACTAGGTGCGTCGATATCAATCTTTGCTATATTATTTTCAGTTTTTAAATCCAAACATAATACACGCCACTTGAAGATCCGTTTAACAGACACTCCGGATCCGTTTCTGTCACGTTCCAATGTTGAATATATGTTCACGATTTATTTCAGAGGGATATAAACTAGGCTGCAGGTTTGACAGACTTTTGTCTGGTGAGTGACACATCCGAACTAACAAAAAATGATATCTAAACGACAACTGAGTAATTATCGGGCATCGGTAATTCCGTTTGCAATGAATACAGAAGCTGATTTGATTCCAATAAAATGGCTTTTCGTGGTGTATATTTTATATAGGTCTACTTTTATATGAAAACAAATTAAGGCCTATGTTTCCATATCAATATTAATAATAACAAATGTTTCAATGCGTTTTCAACTAATTTCATAAAATCAAAAAATACGTCTAGACCAAGATATTCATCTATGCCGACGGTCGAAAAAAAAAGACTGGGACAACAAACATGATAAAAAGGATTTTTTTTTAAAATGAAGCATCTATAAAATCTTATAATTTCGAATATCAATAAGTGCATTTATAATTTTTCACTCAGATTTTCAACTGGACAAAAATATATTTTTTTTAATATTCGAAGTTAGCAATCCAAATTCTGAATTAAGACTAGGCTTATACTTTTTATGTATCGTTGCTAATTATAGACGGTCTTATCTTTAATCACTTGTAACAAATATTTTTCTCAGAACTGTGATTAATATGCATTTGACTAATACTTAAGTTACATTATACAGTCAGTAAAATTCAGCCTAAAGGTATTCCGTTCCATTTTGTCAATATGACCGTGATCCGGATAAAGTAAACGCATGTGTGTTTGTCCCTTTACGACTGATCTGCGGGTGGTTGCTATGGTGACATCTTCAAACGCGCACATCTAACCAATAGTCGGGTTACAGTTTGGAATGTATTATATTACAATTTATAATATTTCGGCATTTTTTAAAATGTAATTACCTTATAAATCGGCATAAATAGTATAGAAATAATAGCGTTCTATGTAAGCAAAGTTTAATGTACTTATACAGAATGACTATTCAGTAATATATATCTAATATATCACTGGAAAACAAAAATTAAAAAAATTTCAAATCGGTAAGTGAGATTTGTATAGTATTTATTTTAGTTTATATTATGCTTACCAATAAATGAACACTAAGATATATCCAGAATTATCATTATTGCGTTCATCTTTTAATCCTTTATATATAGGCCCAATCATTTAACGTATCATCTTTATAGTACATTATATTCACACATGTAATTCATAATTCATTAGTTTATTTCTCTCACAACCCAAAAGTAAAGAGTCTGGTAGGTAAAAAGAAAAGATGTCCCTTTACAAGATGCCTACCAGAGAAACAAGGATAATAACAATAACAACAAAAATAATAATGATAACAAGAATAATTTAATAATAATATTTTTAGTAATAATAAATGATAATAATTGTAATAATAATAATAATAAATGATAAGAATAATATTATTATTAATAATTATAATAATAAATAGGCTTAATAAATAATAATATTAAAAAGAATAATACGAATATTATTATTAACAACAACAACAATAATAATAATAATTATTATTATTATTATTATTATAAATAATAAATAATAATAATAATAATAAGGATAATAAATGATAATATTAAGAATACTAATAATAATAGGCCTATTATTATTAAGAATAACAATGTGTTCTTTTCCATTTTGTAGGTTTTTTACTGGACACATTTACTATACCTTGCATTTTGGACGTTATTACTTATACATGGACCTCGCTTTTTCTACTTCTTTTCAATTCCGGGATTTATATTTATCATAGAGAAAATTACAAATACAAAGATATTCAAGCAAGCTCAGTTTGGAAGTACGTATGTGGAGGATGTTAAACTGTTCCCATCTGGTGTAAGTATTACTTTGAAACTTAAGTACATGTTGGTTACATATAAGTATGTATTAAAGCAAGGATGAATAACTTATAAGCTCACACACTTGTTCTAATATTACAATATGGGCTTAAGTTCAATATGGTCGGTAAGTACCTAGAGAAAGAAAAATAGGTAAGTATACTGAGGTAAGACATAAACGTAACATAAGTAAATAATGTAGGTAATTAAGCTAGGTAGGTAAGTAATTAAGTATAGGCCTATGTATTTGATTAAGTCGATAAGTAAGTTGATAAGTAAGTAGCAGGCCTGTCGTAATGTGGTTTTAGGGATTCTGGCAAACCTCCTTTAACAAAACTTAAACTAGTTAAAACAAACCACACTTCCTAAATAAAAAAAATCACTTCTTACCTGGTGTATGCCACAAAAAAAGCTATAGTCCTTTCCATCAAATGCAAATTTGCCTTTGTATGGTAATTATATTAACATTAACTATATTTTTAAATCAAAATGTATCATATTTATGTTGCATTTAAATATTGGACCCCATGCCCGGAACCCATTACCACCCCCACCCCCATTCTCTTCCTTAAAAGATGTTGGCTATATGGACACCTAAGTAGCTATAAGTAAGTCAGAGAATAAAGTAAGGCAGAAATGGTATTTAGAAAAAGGCTTAGATAGAAAGCGAGGAAGACATTAGGCGTAGACTCAATTTCAACTTCTGAATATGTACCAGTGATTAAACATATTGATTTTAAAGAAGTACAGGATTGCAACACACGCATCATTAAAGCCCACAGAGGAAAATGTTATGTGATGAGCCTTTGCAGTATCTGCACTGAGGCTTACTAGCGTGGTGACGGTTTAATGATAATTTTGGACAGACGACACTTGAATAAGCGTTGTGATCGTGTAAAACCATCTGCCATAAGAAAGCTAACCCTACTGCGAATGTGATACAAGACAAATACTAAGGCTAAGATACCGCTTGGTAGCCAGCATGGATGCTATTGGTTTAATAAACTGTAAACAACTCCATAGAAATCAAAGTGATGAATTATTGCTAATCGGATATTGGTTTTCTTCGTTTTAGTTATCGTAGATGATCAAGGTTATGGTACCGGCGTAATGGCTCCAGAGATAATAGGCCTACATTACATATCAATAGTTGTGTATATACATTTAGAGGTGTGATTCTATAATTCATAATTTTTAAAGGCTTCTACTCCCTTGTTGACTGCTGTTATGTGTTTGGATCAGTTTGCGTACACGCTAGTTGATCATTGGAACGCACTGCCACGCGCATGAAGCCAACTTGGGCCACTTAATTCCAAGGTGTATGGACATCATATCTCCAGTGTGCTACTGTAATGCTCTACGTTAACCTATATAATATATATATATATCGCTGATTTAGAATTTATAATCCCAATCACATAACCATGTGGCAATACATCAGCATGAAATACAAGTAATCATTACACCAAAAATAATATTCATAAATAAGTATTGAAGTACAAATGACACACACAAGGTACCAATTGTCAATGCAAGTCCACGGCAAAGTGGCTGTCCCATAGGATGACGATGACTCGATAATTAATTCAGGCCCTCAGTCGTTCTTCTATGTCGCATGTTGGACAGATATAGGGCACATTAATTCATGCATATAAGTCTCGTGTTGAACAAATATCCATGCATAAATTCGCATGTTGAACAGATCACAATGGTACCTCATTCCCAGCATAATTAAATTAGGATATGTTTACATGTTGGTATAACCACGTGTATAAAATATTGACAACTTTAAATTAATTTCTAATCAAATCGACACTTACTACCAACTTCATTTATATATTAATTTTCGTTTTGTAAACCTATTTGATTGATTTTGTGAAGTTGATATGAACTAATCACCAATTTCCAAACTACGATAATGTGTTTATGCAATCTATCGTTTGTTCGATACTTCTATTCATCATGTTCCCTTGCCAGTATTCCATGATTTCCCTGCAGATAAATAATGTACCAACTCCGTGAACTATGGACTCTCCACTTTATGGGGTTTTAGTTTACGGTCTCGTTTGAACGCAAATTCGTATACATTCAAATAACAATAAATAAATAACACGAATATTTGTTCTAAGTTCAGTCACCCAAAAATAATGAAATAGGTTAATACCGATTACTGCAGTGATGTCGTTAGCGTTGTCAATCAGCAACCGTTACTATTTTCATCAGCGAATATTACATAACAGAACAACTTCCTTAATTTTACGTGTATTACACTTGCACACTTAATGTCGTCTTCCAAAGTCTAATCCTAGAAATGACAGCCTTTTCATGATTATGTTTTGGTATCAAGAGAACTCCTTCCTGATTTGATGTCCGTTCATCCTTTTGGTGGACTTCCTTTTCTTTAAATGGATTCTGCCTTTAAGTTTAGATATCCTTCGCCTTTCAATCCTGCAATGTACCCGTAATATGATATTTGTTTTTATGTTATTACCTCTCCCATGGAGGTTATGTATTCACCACCGTCTATTTGTCGGTCTGTTTAGCAAGATTACGTAAAAACTACGAAGGATGAATCATCTTAAAATTTTGGAATGGTATATAAAAAAAGAAAGAGGTGAATACATTTTGGGAAGAAAAAAGCATGTGTTGGTTCCTCGTGCCTAATCTCACAGTATCTCTTCTTCTGTTGCTAGTTTGATGATAAGCTCTGCAGAATGTTAGACAGAACAATTAAAGACATGAAAATGTTCTGAGGAGGTAGGCCTATTGGCTTTCCTCAAAATATAAGATAGGAGACGATTGGACGCGTTAAACTCGTGAATCTGAAACAAAAAGGGTTAAAGAGATCTTATTGAACCTCTTAGGATTACCGTACTGCCTGGCAAAGATTTACTTTTATGTACTTTGGGATCATAGAGGCCACGAATATAATTCTTGTAACACCAATGCTCAACACATTTTTTGAAACACATAATTAAGCAAATCTGGAACTGTTTGCCATTGTTGCTGAAATTCCAAAAAGAATAAGCTTGGCAGCAGAGAGGTGCTAAAGAAATTAGCCTAAAATTTTCCAAACTTAACACCACAGACATTAAGTGTAAGTAAGATTTTAATCGCATTATAGGCCTATCATTTCATTTCCGAAACAGTCAAATCTACATACAATTCTCCGCAAACAATAACTTAATATTGTAAAACAAAATAATCGGTTAAGCATTTCCGAAACTTATCGAAGCGATTTCAAAGAGGAATGATCCGTTTAAAATGTCTACACAATTATGATTTCAATTGAAATTTAATCCTTTGTTAATGGCCTACCTACAGCAGATTAAACTAACGTTTGTTTTCCATATATGCATAAAATGTAAACTTGAAAACTTGTTCCGGTATTGCATAATAAGAAAATACCAGATGCCACAATGTACGCAATGTAGACCTTATCAACAGGATGTTCATAAGATTAGGTTTTGTTTCATATTTTCATTTTTAGTAAATTTGTTTTAATTATTTCCCACAGTATTCAACCATCCACATTATTTTTTATGTTTACATCAACAAAATTCATGTACAATATATTAGAAACTTTACGAGTCTAACATTTTCAATGATCATAAAATAACCATCAGTATTACGTACTGTAAGGCTGACGACTGATTAGAAAAATAATGTATTGTTTTTTAAGACAGTACAGTAATAATGAACAAAACATAATATGCGTTTTTAAGTTGTACATTTACATTTTACTCTAATTGTTGCCAACGATACTAATGTTATAGATGCCTTGATTATAACCTTATCTGACATTAGGCGTATTTATTCCAACCTAGATAAGTAAGCCTATGTTAGTCAAGTATTTGTAAATATTCTCAATCATCCAGGTGTGGTAATTATGCTAACAAAAAAGAACTGTTCTTCTTGACTTCTATTTTATTCTGGCTATCATATCATACAGCCAAGATGCATCTCTAGGCTGACTGGTCTCAGGGGCGGATTTAGGGGGGCCGGGCCGCCCCCCCCCCCTTTTGGGAGGTCAAAAAAGAAAAAAGAAAGAAAAAAAGAAAGAAAAAGAAACAGGGGCGGATTTAGGGGGGGGGGCCGGCCCGGCCCCGCGCCCCCCCCCCCTTTTTGGGAGGTCAAAAAAGAAAAAACAAAGAAAAAAAAGAAAGAAAAAGAAAAAAATGATAGCCCAGAACGCCTCAAATGTTATTTTCGAGCGTCTAGAACACAAAGATTTCGCGGGGGCATGCCCCCGGACCCCCTAGGACATTGTTGTCTCGATCGGCCCTAATTTCGGCCCCCCCCCCTTTGGACATCTCTGGATCCGCCCCTGGGTCTGGTGGGCATATGCCCAGAGGAACAGTTTTTGTTAGCATTTATTTAAAGTAGCATTTTTTTCCAACCGCTTAATTTTACTTCACGGGCCAGCGCACAAATTAGAATGGTTTCGTGTTGAAAGAACACCATAAGTGTAACATTATTCATAAGTAATGTTTATTAAATTTTTATGAAAACCATAGTCTATACAACCTAAAATAATCATCTTTCTATCATCATTTTGGGGATCACGAATATGATAATCACAGAATAAAGAGTTCACATAGGGGAGATAGACCTACAGATGGTCATAAAATACGGGAACAATTAATACAATGACTAGCAAACCAATGGTGACAAGGTTACATTGATCTCAAAATAATGTGATTGCATGATACGGGAATAATAGAATGGGAATCACGTAATAGTCCTCCAACTTACAAACTACGGAAATCACAGAAAACCACATGCATACCATGGGATTAAAGAATATGGAAAATTGCATAATACATCTTAATATTACAGAAATTTTAAGATCACAGAATAAGTGATCACATTATAACATCGACAGAATATCGATATATTTTTTGTAATTTTAAATAAAACCAGTGAATATGCAATTTAAATCAATTAATTCTTTAAATTTTTTATTTCCTTTTCTGGTATTTATTAAACTATGTATAAACCGTAATAGTTCAATAATTTCATTCATTTATTAATCTTAAAATATTTTGTAGTCTTAAAGAAAAGTTGTTAATATGCAGTATTGAATCGTAATTAATTCTTTCAATTGCTCAGGGCTTTTTATATATTTTCATAACATTTTCTATTGTGTGCAATATTCATGTTACTTCATGTTTAAGGGGCAGCTGACTCTTTTGAGTTACAGTCATTTATTTGCTTTAGATGTACCTGACCATCGTTTTGTTGTTTCTTGTTGTTATTATGCTCTTTATTGTTTATGGTCGAATAAATAAATGACATGAAATGAAACGAAATCACGTTATGAGATCACAGAATACATGGATTGCAGAATACATATTGTAGTATAGACGGAGCTACGTAAGCCTTGTTAATCTTGAATAAACTTCTTTTGATATGTTCATAATGCCAGATTGTTTCTTTCGATAGGTAACACAATTAGTGATGACACGTCCACCGCGATTTCATTTCAAAGCAGGCGACTACATATTTTTGCAAATTCCCGCCATAGCTCAATATGAATGGCATCCATTTACGATCAGCAGTCCCCCTGAACAAACAGGTAATACGACAGTTTATTGTTTTACTTTTAACAAATAATATGGATTTTTTATAATTAGAAGATAGGCATCGAAAAATAGTTGCTACCGCATAACAGTACCACTAAGGCATATTTCCAATGAGCGCGACTGTGGTAAAAAATAAATATAACCTATATTATTATAAAGCATATTTTTTATTTTCCACACTGAACATCAGCCATTAAGCTTGCTTTCCATAGAATCGCTACACAGTCGCTACAGCGTTTTCATTGTAATCCTTACACTACGTAGCTCTCCCTGACGCAATCGGGAACTCTTCCTGATTCAATACAAAGACGTCGGCGATAGCGTATATTGATTAGAGCAATTTAGATCTTACGGTTCTATATTTCCTACCGCAGCCGGCCGCGTGCCGCTTTCGCACTCACTGGAAATCGGAATCAAGTGGGATATATAATTGTAAGTGAGGCTAATAAAGAGCTCGACTTTCAATCCCATGACTACTTTATCAATTTCCATAAATAAAGTGTCAGGATTTGCCAAACCACTCGACAACACAAACCTAATAATGAAACTTGATTTACATAGCAGCATTGACACCTACAGATACTACTAGTGTCGCTGGCGCGATTGCACTAGCAATTACTAATTAGTACCCCACATTACTAATTACCGCATTATTATTCTTACTCTCAATACAATGTAATCATCGGATTTTATTAGGAGGCAATAAGGTAACCGAAGAATTGTCAACCATGCAAGCGATTGTACTAAACAGAACATAAAATATGTAATATTCTTTAAACAATCCTCAACGATTATGTATAATATTTCATGATTAAATCAGTAATCCATCCCATTCAGCTATACGAAACGTATTCGTTCGTACATAAACGGTTGAACATTAAGACCAACTGGAGTTAATGCCCCTAATTTAATTTAAACTTCTGAGTGTTTTTAACCCGGTAAAGTAACTCAGTGTTGCTTTTGCTCTCTAAAATAACATTCCGAGCCGGTTAAGTAAATACCGGTAATTTACAATAAACTGTGTCTCGGTTTCAATAAGCTAAATATTGTACTTCAGCAAAGTGAGTTGAATTCTCTTAGGTAACGCGTACACGCGTACACGCGACTCTCGCGACCTTTGCTAGCGAAGACACGCGCGCCTGATGTAATTGATACAACCAATCAATAGGCAAAACGCTCAGGATTTTTACTTATTGCTTAATGGATAATTGAATATAAAATAATAATCAGTTTTAAGTTGACTATTAGGATGTCACTGTTGTATTATACATTATATATGTTAAAAAGATAGACTCGGCCCACGCCGTCTGCTAAAAAATCTGAAAAACCCCTTTAAAACTCAATTTAAAAATGCAACCCTGTTATGCAGCTGCGTTTTGTGTGTACAGTATTTGTTTTATCACGGATGCACTACTAGTATGAACCCAGCGGGTGTACTTCCATGACGTACTAGGGGTGTGTAGTTATTTTAAAGGACCATGCTCTCTCCTTTTTCATACTTTTTGTATATATTCATCATCAGCTGAAATTAGTCATTTAGAAAAAAAAAATAATAATTGTCTGTAGTATCTTTAAAACTCATAAAACCAATTGGGGCGAGCGGAGTGGTCAAAAGATGGGTTCAGTGGGTAAAGAAAGGACCGACGAGGGGGCTGGTTCCCCCGACGAGGAGTCAGAATTCCCCGACGAAAGCAATGTGGGCGTGGTCGAGCTTCGATTAAATGGTTTCGAAAGTGGTCCAGGGGGCGAAGCCCGACAATTTAAGGGTTTCAAAAGCTTATTTAATCGATTTTAGAGTCTACTAGTATGTAGAAAATATATATAATTTGTTTTCTCTCTGACGAATCGTGCCAGCACACCCCGACGGAGGTGGGGGGGCTGTCCGCTGGCGCCACCCCTGGGTTCAGGAACACGCGCACTTCCTGCAATTGGCGGAGCTTAGCCAAACTTTCCATTGTGACATTATTTGGATAACAGACAATATCTTTTTTAAATATTTATAATTTGCTCATTACAGGCACCTTTTCTGTACATGTTCGTTCGGCTGGTAACTGGACTTGCAGATTATACAGCTTTTTCGAGCAACGTTTAAAAGAAGAAAAAGAAGCGAAGCGTGAAGCACATAGGAAAAGCGCGTGCCATTCTAATCGCGCCCTAGAGATTGATGAACCTCCTGTGTTTGTGGAGATGGTGAACCTCGACTCAACTCGAGCAGATACAGAGATCCCTGTGAGTGACTCGTGCGGAAAAGTAGTGACACATGTTGGAAATGGTAAACACAATGAGGTAGGAAGAAACATAGTCATCGACCTTACGTTTAAGTTGGCGTCCCATACTTTCAAATTACAATTTTGTCGAAAACGCAAATACTCTAAGCTCTGTATACCGCGTTAGTTGCCGTGAAATAACGTTTAGTTTTATTTACGCCCCCACTGAGAATTAAAACTGATTCAACTGGAAAATTGAATGAGTTAGCTGAGATTTACCATATTAAGTTTGTTGGTAAACAAACCGATCATGCACAGGAAACAAATTGATTTATAAGCCATTGGTGAAGTAATGAAGGTGAAAGATAACAGGAATTTTAATATTTTTCTAACAACATGATATGCAGAGCATTTATTATATTTGGAGGCCCAAGTGATAGTTGCATAACCATTGTGGATACATACTCTAACGTTAATTATTATGCGAGTATATAATAATAATAATAATAATAATAATAATAATAATAATAATAATAATAATAATAATAATAATTTTTTTATATAGAGCAAAAATATCTCTCTGAGCTTTACACAAGTATTCACTAATCAAACAGCCATTTCTAATTTAACAGAATTTCACAAATTTAGAATGTCATAGGCCTAAATCCACGACAGAACGAGATCTCTGACATTTTGCTTGAAAGTCTATCATAATTATAATTTGTATTAATAATAATAATAGGCCTAATAATAATATTTGTTGAGCATATTATTTTATTGATAATAATAAATAAATGAAATGGAGGTTCACCATTGATTGTGATAAATCGATTGTGAAATAAAAATCGAAAATACTACCGGTACTAGACCTATTATAATTATAATTGATTTATAGTCAAATTTAATGTCGTTGTGTTTTATTGTCGGTAGGAGGAATCGTGGAAACACAAACATGAAGATGGAACAATTAATAATAATATAAATAACAACGGATTAAGCCGCATTAGGGTGAGTATATGTGAAAAAATATAACATCACCCTATTAAAAATAACTTAAGTAAAAATCATTATTTTTTTTATCTGAGTGTTACATTGTGTAAAATTTAAAAATGAACTAAAAATGTGGATGATTTGGATAAAAACAAGGCCGTTTTTTGGATAGAAGCAGACGCATCCGGGAACACTGCTTTTAAATAATATAATAATTTAACAGTTTGAGAGTGCCATTTTCCGGCATCTGAGGTTGCTTACTCCTAACATTTGCTCCAAACAAGGCATGAGGTGGATGTCGGGAAATTTAAAATCTCTTAGGGGGCACTGGACGGCTCATTTTTGTTGACCCCAATGCAGGCATCCCGTGGCGATTGCTACGTAGTGTTGTCAGTGACACGCATTCTACCCTCATATTCAAAATAGCCATTAGAAAACTCGGCCGTCAATTCGTATTAAATCTCGTTAGTCTGCAAGGTTGGAACATCATTTGCGATAAAGCTATACTGATTAAACCCCTACTATTGATTAGGCCTTCAACATATCTGATGTTTTAAGCGTTATCAATGTTTTATAATGTTTGTTAGTTTATTTGGTAAAGTTTAATGTAAAGGATTTATTTATTACAAATATGAGAGTGTGGACCATTAAACTACAGTACAGCTTGTTAAATGGTTGTTTGGCCCGCCAAATAAGCCCGTACAGTATATGTATCATCAACGTGTGTTTTTATTTATTTTATTTTATTTTTTTTTTTTTTGAAATATTATACGTCATGTGGGATATTAGAGTATTGTTTTTAAATGGCCGTACTGTGTTATAATCATATAATTATCTAAAATTCTTATTGGTCAGTATAAAACGCCAGTGAGATTAATAATTCCGCGTAGGCCTAATCATTTTGTAAAGTAACTTTAGTCAGGCCATGGTCTTGTGTACATTGTACAGTAAGCCTATCATGTTTATTAGTGAGTTATTAATGCGTTACGAAAAGATCAGTCGCATAATATTCAATTTGTATTTTTGTATCTACAGGTTTTTATAGACGGGCCGTATGGAACGCCGACGAGGGCAATTTTTCAATCAGAACATGCAGTGTTAATTGGTGCTGGCATAGGCGTAACGCCGTTTGCTTCTATTCTTCAAAGCATTATGTACAGGCATAAGTTATCTACACGCACGTGTCCAAGCTGCAAGCATTGCTGGTTGGATGAAACGCTTGCTGCTGCTAATATGAGATTAAGAAAGGTCAAGCTCAAATCATTTATTACGTCATTCATATCTACATAATTTCAATTCAGCATGTAATTTTATTAGTCTACTAATAATTCGGATGGTAAACGAAATTTAAAATTATTTTTGGGTTTTTCCAGCTTTAGCTGGAAAAGCCATTGTTTTTGTTTTTGTTCTGTTTTGTTTTTCGCTAGTCCTACATTCGTATTATGCACAATTAAACGGAAAACCTGTTGTATTTTTCGAAAAATATGTCGAGAATTTAAGCATAAGTAGAAGTGTGTCTATGCCTCCTCGGGGGCAATGACACTAGGTTGTCGCCTGGCAGTTAAAGATGGCTGAAAGGGTAAATCCGGTGGAGGTGCATGATGGGTCATGTGCCATCTTAAGTACCTTATTACTGTACGAAAGTCGTAAAAAATACAACATCTCACCATGATAACCGAATCCCATGTGGATACTCTATTAGCAAACATAATACAGTAAGGCAGTATAGGGCATAGACACACGCTCCCTTTGGGAGCCTATTTTTTGTATATTGTGATAAATTACATTGATAAAGGGACTCACTGATGCCTGATTTGAGACCCGTGGTAGAAGCTCAATGTTTAATCATCTAGGTAAACACAACTAAATTTAGGTTACTTATGTTGAATTGCAGTACGTTCGTCAATAACATTCGTACTTAAATTTACATGATAATCAACAGTGCATTTTAATTGTCCTGCAATAATTGAAGTCATATAGAACTCTCTGTTCCGCCAAGTCCTGTCTCTGTGTATTGTCCTGATATCACTATGTTTCGTCAATAGCCGTCTTTTGTAATGCTACAGTCTTAGCATTACACCGACTTTAGTGCCGCCAAGTTCCGTCTGTGTTGTTCTATTCATTGTGATTCGTTAATAGCATTTTTTTAATTTGCAGGAGTAATAAAAAGTCGGTGTACCAAAAGACAGTACTCGTAAAATACACTTCGTTTGTCCTACATTCGTACTATGTAGTATTATGCGAAAAACGTTTTGTATTTTTCAAAAAATTAACGAGAATTGAAGCGTTGGGTAGGTTGTTTGTATATCGTGATCAATTAGATTAATAAAGCGATTCACCAAAGTTGACTAATATAACGTCTATTGAACTGATGACACTTCCACACACAAATCTCTCGCGACGACCCAATTTTTTAATTATCACCGCTGGTGCGGGCATCGTACAATTAAAAGTATAATATAAGATTGCAAAAAAAACCCCTTTCAAATAGATATCTTAGCGGAAAAAGTTCCCCCCAGATGTATAACGATTGCTTGGCGGAGATTATCTTTGGCTCGTGAGATCAATTCTAAAAATAATTTAGCCTTCAAACAAATTGATTAAGAACCAGGGCTCTATATACTTCAGTGCATGTAGCGCAATATACCAACCCAACCGCGAGAAACATACTGTAATCTCTTTGTACGCCGCCAGTGCGCAGTAGCATCACGGATTTTGTGGGGGCTCTGGTGGTGAATTGGGGGACCTAATAAGCGAGTGAAGCGATCGTTAAGTTTGCAAGCGGAGCAAACAAACACGCGCTGGGGGCCAGGGTGTGAAGACCCCTGGTGGGGTCCGAGGGGGCTTCAATCCCTCGCGCTCAGAGCTTATGGCATTTATGCATTGTTAACTCCGTTGTCAGAGAACATAGAATGGTCCATGGTCCATGACTAATGAAGTATTTCAGACAAATTTATGACAAAACCAACATAGATTATAGGCCAACTTTCGGAACTGGTATAGTTTTAGCAAGTCAATAATCCAATCAATCCTGGGACTGTGGTTGTTGGCATGATTTGAGCTGCAGAGTGTTTGGACAGATGAGAGCTTCGAGCCCTGGACAGACAATCGAACTTTACTCTTTTTACATATTTGTCTATGCCTAGTCCTACTCTTTTTATTTTTTCCGACCTTTAGCACATTCTCATCTGAGTTTTCAAGAAAAAAACAATGATCCTGCCATCCTGCTAATCTCAATAGGCCGATGGCCAACAAGCTAACCACTACCCACCACCACTAATTGCATCTACTATTTTGCTGTTATGTAAATATTCACAGCATTCTTGTGATGAGCTAGCCATGTTCTCTGGACGATTATCTTTTCCGCCTAACCACCATTCGTAATGTCCTTATATAATTGTTTTCATTCCAAAAAGTGCCTCTTGAATTTAATAATTTCCCATAAGAACCCATCGATTTTCATCTATTTTCATAAGCGCCAATTTCCACTCCGTTTAAATAAGCGCTCGTTTGAATAAGCGCCCCTCAGAAAGTGCAACAAATATTTTAAGCGCCTGGGCTCTTATTCGCGCGAGTACGGTAATTATTTTAAACTATTGTTGGACTTTGGTAAAAATTATCACTTTTGGTATAAAATATCACTTATGGTTTTATGGATGAGGGAAGAGAGAAAAGAAAATGATATATACCTACTCGTTGGTTTTTCACTAGATCTGCCTTTTCCCTGCTTCCTATAAATTAAAAACATACTAGAGCGATTTTTACGGGGTGGGGTTCGAAACGACATTTATTTTGATGAAGTATTTTTTTCACAAAAAAATTCTATTATAAAATCACATGTTTTTGTTTACATATTGATTGTTGGCATTTAAAATAAATTTAAGGTATTGAGTAAATTAAATTTAAAATGTGGGACATGGGCCACACACACA